AKAAAACTTATTCTTAAATAGCTACTTATAAATAAATAAATAAAAATTTGTTCTCACTTTGTTGGCTACCCCATGAGTTGTGGGTCTTCGAGTACCTAGCAGAGCATAAAGAGCACACTTTGAGCAACTGATAGTGCAAGTGGCATTAAGAATCTTAGGAAACTGAGGAGCAGGTTAAGTAGCTTGCCCAAGGTCAAACATAAAGGAAAAAGGAAAGCCAGAAAATTGAACCACAAATTCTTTCTCARGAGTTCATGCTTGATTCCCCAACCTGCTTCTGAAATAGTTTGGTCCATGGGCCACTCTGGTGTTTTGTAGATTATTTCAATTTCATTGCAACACAACCTTGAAACATTGGTGTTTACCATCTTCCACTTTTACTCACAGAGAAAATGAGAAAGAAAACTAATATGGCTTGTTCAAATTCACAAAAGCTAGAAAGTAAAGAGGCAAAATTCTAACAGGTCTGTACAGATTAAGAGTCTATATCCTTTTACCCATCAAGATAGCACAGATTGCATTTTGAAGAATTCAGTATCATCAAGCAAATGACAAGTGAGTGTACCTCAACTGTAAGTTARCTAATACCAAACTATCACATAGGAACCTTAATGAGAGTCTTGAAGGCAAAAGATGGGTTTTAATGATGCTAAATATTGTCAGAAAACATTTGCTTTTATTTTAATTCAAAAAATGTATACATACATAACATACATTGGACCTTTTCCCACCCCAGTTGGCTCTTCCTCTCTGCCTTCCTCTGGTTCTTTTTCCCTTTTAAACTTTGGACAAAGGAGTGTTATGAAAAGGTTACAAAAGTTTCTGCTGCCCTCTAGTGGTCTTATTCTGGAAGTGGTGGTCACACGAGGGAAATTAAAATCTTTAAGACAATAATAAAAAGGGGGTGGTGGAGCAGTTTGTAATCCCAAACCTCAGGAGGCTGTGGCAGGAGAATTGAGAGTTCAAAGCCAAACCGAGAAGGCTGCATTGTGGCTAAGTGGTAGAGCCCTCACTTAGCATATGTGAGCCTCAGCACCACATAAAAATAAAATAAAATTATTGTGTCCATCTACAACTAAAAATATTTTTAAAAAAACAAAACCAGCCTCAGCAATTTAGCAAAGCCCTAAGCAACTTAGCWAGACCTGAGAGATTAAGTAGCTCATCCAAGGTTGACTATTAAGGAAGCAGGCGAGTCAGGAATTGAGCAGAGGTATCTTTCTCAGGAGTCCACGTTCTCCTTACTATCTGATTTACTTAGAGACATTACAGTCCATGGGTTCCACTGTGCTATTACATTGCCTGATAACACTTACATGATGGTATGCTGTAGTTCAAACATAAATAAGTATGAAATTATGTGGGAGCATGTTTACATTGAAATAGTAAGAGAGAAAACAGTAGGACAAACTGTATACTTACCATTTCAGTTCAGGAGTGTGAGTGTGAGTGTGTGTATGTGTGTGTATATACAATCAAAATTTAAATTTCTCCATGTAAGGGTTTATAGATGATTTTTGTTTTTTCTTTTATGCTTTTTTAAATATTCTGAACTTTTGTTAATGAGACAGAACTGCTATGATTATCAGAAAATATACTAAAAAATACTTAGGTTGCTGGAAAAAAAAAATCAATACCAGAATTTTCAAAAATAGGATTTATCCCTCTCAACATATAGTGAAGCACCATACACTCTCAGTGAAATAAAACTATTATTGCTTTATATAATAGTTTCAACTCTATAAAGTAAAGGAAACTGAGGATCAGCACAGATCACTCATTTTAAATTAGTTCAGCCAGCATTTGGAGAACTAGACTCATAATACAAATTTTCAAGTTCTATAATAATTTTTTGATAATTCAAGTTCTCTCCATAACACCTCAATATTCTGAAGTAACATTTAATAATGAAGAATTTTGAAAGTCCAAATAGAGGTGTAATGTTTAATTTGAATTGTCAAATTAAGAGATGCTAAAGGGCTGGGGTTGTAGCTCGGTGGTAGAGTGTGAGGCACTGGATTTGATTCTCATCACCACATATAAATAAATAAAATAAAGGTCCACTGACAACTAAAAAATATTTAAAAAAAAAAAAAAGAGATGCCGAAGATTAAAAGGCTTCTGGGTGTGTCAATGAGGACGTGTCAAGGAATGACTGGCGTGTGAGATAGCCAACTGAAGTGGAGGCCCTCCTTAAGCATGGGCAGCACCATTCAGTAGGTTGGAGGCTCGGGTGGAATAAAAGTTGGAAGAACAAGGAAGCAGCAGCAGATGCAAACCCATTCTTCTTGAACAGGTTCTTGATTGCTGCTGGGATCTCCTGAGGTCATCAGACTCTCCTTCATTCTTTCCAAGCAGACTCTGCTAGTGATTCTCCAGGGAGTTTCCAGAAGCCTTCGGTCCTGGACTGGTCCCTGTTGTTCTGAGGCTTCTGCATCATGGACTRTGCAGCTAATGGTTCTTCCAGCTCTCCAGCCTGCAGACAGCCATTGTGGACTACCCAGCTTCTGGTTGTGTAAGCCAATCTAATAAATTCCTTTTTTATAATCATACCTCCTGTTAGTTCTGTTCCTCTAGAGAAAACTGACTAAAACAGGAAATTTTCATACATGGCTAGTGGGGACCATCAAATCCAAACAATATGTATTCCTTTGATTTATGGTCATTGTTACGGAGCTGGGGCCTTCCAAGAAACTGAGGCAGCATGAAGACYCCCTCTTCAAACCCCGATTCTTGAGATCAAGTCAGAAAGATTTCCAACATGTTGCCCAGAATCACAGGAATGAGTTTACTAAAGGGCTGGGGGAAGGGAAAGAGAACATTCTCAAGGGAGAAAGTGGGTCCTCTCAGAGAAGAGAGACACAGCATGCCTCTCCTGCACTCCAGTTTTATTGGAGATCCCAGAGAATTTCCAGAGAGTCCTACCCAGATCCACCTCTTGAGTTTTGGCTCTCAGCAGGGTGATATSAGACTTTCAAGTCCCCACGGTCATGGCAACTCTAAGTCATCTTGGCTCATGCTGACCAGTTCCAGTTGGATTCTTAACCATACTATTTTTTACAGTTTTTGTGGTTAGAAGGAACTATCCTCATTTCCCAGAGTTTCGGGATCTGGTCACAAAACTCTCCTGGATTGCTCCCACTGACATTATCTTGGGTCTGCATTTCTTTTGCAGTTAACAGGTAGTTTCCAGAGAAATGTGACCCCGTCCACTAAGGCCAGGCAGGGCTGCAGGTAAATCTCTTCCTGGAAAAGAAAGCATGTGGGGGGTCTGCACAGTGGGCCCATTTTATAGAGTTATTCTTTTATCCTCAGGTTCCTATCATTCACATCTGTCYGTCCCCTAACATCTCTAGAACGGGGTCTTAAAAATTGTGAGAAACGCACAAAGATTTTTGTTCAAAATATATTCACAARTTGTTGATTATAATAGCACAAAGTTGAAAACTAGCCAGATATGTTTGTCAAAAAAAAACTGGAAGAAGTAATGATAATTGATTTTATTTATTGAGAAATCTATAAATGCCAGATACTGACTGGAAAGTTATGAACATACCACTTCAGTGAGGGAGATACTGTCATCATCACCATCTAACACAAAAAGCAGTTGGGAGATTAACTGAGAGGTTAAGTAACTTGTCCAAGGTTGAATATTAAGGAAGCAGATGAGTCAGGAATTGAACAGAGGTATCTTTCTCAGGAGTCCATGTTCTCCTCACTAACTGATTTGCTTAGAGACACTACAGTCCATAGGTCCACTGTGTTATTACATTGCATGGTAGCACTTTTGGAATGTTGTAGTTCAATCATAAATAAGTATGAAATTATGTGGGAACATGTTTACATTGAAATAGTAAGAGAGAAAACAGCCAAACTATATACTGTACCATTTCAGTTCAGGAGTGTGAGCGTGCATGTGTGTGTGTGTGTGTGTGTGGTGTGTGTATACAATCAAAATTTAAATTTCTCCATGTGAGGGGTTATAGATGATTTTTGTTTTTTCTTTTATGCTTTTTTAAACATTCTGAACTTTTGTTAATGAGACAGAACTGCTATGATTGTCAGAAAATATACTAAAAAATACTTAGGTTGCTGGAAAAAAAAAATCAATACCAAAATTTCCAAGAACAGGATTTATCCCTCTCAACAGATAGTGAATTGGGAAGTATAAGTGGCAAATATCCACAAGAAAAACCACTGTCTGGAGGAGTTAGGAATAGATGAAGGAAGGATATTCAACGCCTGAAAGCACTGACCGCATGTCTGAGCTAGATTAGCTTTACACACTGAATTCTACCTTTGATTTTTGCCAGCTAGACCCAGGCAGTTTTCTGACCATCATTAGGATTCACTGTAGATTGAAATAGAGTTAATTGAAGACCTGATGTTTTTAGAAGAAAAAACAGGAAAAGCTATGGATCCCAAAATCTACAATCTCTGGATTGGGGTGTTTCAGTGTACCGAAGAAAAGCTGTGAAAAGAGCCTTCTTTGTGACAATAAAAGGCATCCCAGGCAGGGTCTATCAGCAGCAGCAGATGAGCCTGACAGAGGCCCACCTTGTATGGCTGGGCCCAGCCACCCTGCACATGCCAATCTTGTTATTCACAATGGGAGCCTGGGACTCAAGATAATGCTATTTGGCCCCACATCCAGTACAAAGAATGCCTTTTCCTGCTCTTCTGGGAAATTTGAGGCAGAACTGCAGAACCTGACCCTTAACACGTCTTTGGCATTCCCCTGAATACAGAATAGATTAAGGATTTTTTTTTTTAATGAAACTAACTTGAGTTCTCTGGAAACCCTTATTTGGCACACACATCTGGCTGTTTCACAGAAATTTCAACTTTGCAAAAAACGCTGGAATTGATTTCTCGTCACAGGAAAGCTGTTAGTTGTTGTTGATCAACAGAAGTCTTAGCACAGACAGGAGCAGAGAAGTTTCCTGTTGAGACTTATTCAAAGAAAACCCCAAAGGAGAACTCAGAGAACTCATTTGGGGATGAAGCTGCCAGTGCAAAAGGGTACTATTTACACACATCTACTGATCAACAGATGCAAGAGGATTTTTCTCCGGACTCCTGTGGCTCCTGGGATGGGGATCTGGCTCCAAGGAGTGCAGCTGCCACTCCTGCTGCTGCTCTGTGGTCTGCAGACACACACCGGGAGTGCTGAGGTATGGAGCTCTTGAGGAGGTGACCTCTCTAAGGTCAGTGTTCCAATAGGACATTCACCTGGAGGCAAACTCTAAATGACCCAAACCTTGGGCACTTGGGATCTAATTTCATACAAACATTTTTAGCAAATGATGATAGTGAAGACTATTGAAAATAATTATTAAAAAATAAAAATTCCTTATAGTTGATAAGTTGGGCATTATGGAAGCTAGTAGTATCACGGTGTTATTTCTTAATTCTCCACCATAATTAAAATACTGCTTCCATAGGACAAATAATGCAAAACCAACCAAATCTTTATGGGTTTAAACTGTATCCTACAGACCAACTTATTTATAAGTGTTCTAACTTGAAGACCTATATGTTGAAAATAACCTCATGTTAAAAGATGACATAGTACATATTTGAAATCTACTTTTGAAATTTATCAGATCTGACAGAACATGATACTATTGGTTTGGCTTGGCTTGGCTTAAATAGATTCTGTAAATTTATTTGGAAATCTGCTCTAAAGAGTTATTGGTTAAAATCATTTAACCAGTCTGAAAATTGTGTTCTAGTTTATACAACTAGAACATAAATCACATAGCAAAGGTACCAAATGATGTTTTTGAGTTCCAGTCCCAACAGCCTTGACATCAGATAGAGTCTTCCAATAAGTAGTATTTATTAGAAAAGCATCATGGCTTTGCAAAGAAAGAAGCATCGATTTACATTTTGATAATTCATACAGGACCCTAAATTATAAACTAATGATATTTAATGAACCTCCATTCAAATCTCTAACTTCAGTTTGCACACACTAGATATCAATAAGTTTAATGTTCAATTGGCTACCCATTAAAAAAGAAAGCCTTTTCCCACTCCTGGAGTGGGAAATAGGAGAGACAAACTACTTCACTGTCAACATTAGGAAGAATAACTGGGAACACACAGTTGGGCTCTGCTCCCTTCCTCCTATTGAGAATGAGTTAGTCTGATAGCAAAGGGCATGAGTTCTGACCTCATCAACAACAAGAATCTTACCTGGGAGGCCTCGGTCCACTACTGCCTGTAACTGAGTGGGCAAGCCTGAATCCTTCTTGAATTTACTCTTCAGAAGAAGCCCACTTGCCATCACACCTACAGATGTGTGCTTCCACATGGACTTATTCAGTAAAAAGAAAGATAATTTGACCTTGATTATTTTTACCTCATTTTATTTTATTTTATTTTATTTCAGAATCCGGGTAATAACAGGGTTGTTATTACTGGACTGTCCCATAAAGAAATCAACATCACTCATCACTTAAGACATTTATTCAATAAAATTCAAAGATTTAATATAGGTTTAGGCATTCATAAAAGAGATGTTCCTTATAACATGCATTAAAGAATACAAAGGGWGAGGAGAGGAGAGGAAACAGAAAGTATAATGAAACGATAAGGTTGAATAATTTTTCTTCCAAGTTAGATTCTGTAAATTTATTTGGGAATCTGCTCTAAAGAGTTAAAAACTCTATTGTTTCAGTTCTACAAAAAGGGTTATTTCCTCCCAGTGAATTTTTTCACCTTTCAATAATATTTATGAAACTAAATTCAATTGTTGGCACAGATCACTGGTATAGAAATGATGCAGGGATCATTACACTGGATGCAGTATAATGATATTGAATAAAATTTATTTCAGCAAATATTGGTTTTGAGAAGATTTGGCTTTATAAAGTATAGTAAATCTGATTTGAATAATTAAAATCAAGGTGTTGTTTGTTTGTTTTTTTTTTTACATTTATAGGTTGCAGCTGAAATTGCCTTTGATTTGGCACCAGATTCCTTTGATGATCAGTACCAAGGCTGTAGTGAACAGGTCTTGAAGGAGCTAAGTCAAGGAGATTATTTCAGAAAGGAACTAGATGCCCATAAGAATTACTCCAAGGTGTGGCACAAAGCCCACTTAACCTGGCTGAACCAAGCAAAAGATCTCCCCAAGGACATGACAACAACACATGCTGTGGCTCTCCTGGTTTACACAACGAATAACAATATGCGCTCTGACTTTTCTCATGCCATGGCCACTGCTGCCAGGTCTCCTCAGCAGTACAGACATTCATTCCATTTCAAATACCTACACTACTACCTGACCTCAGCAATCCAGCTGCTGAGGAAAGAGATCCTTGTGAAGAATGGTACCTTGTGTTATGAGGTGCATCATAGCATGAAGGAGGTCAACTTCAAAGCCCACATAGGTGCCACCCTTCGATTTGGCCAATTCATTTTCACCCCCTTCCTGAAAGAAGAGACACAGAAGTTTGGGAATCAAACGCTGTTTACCATATTTACCTGCATGGGTGTACCTGTACAAGACTTCTCCCTCAAGAAGGAAGTCCTAATCCCTCCGTATGAATTTTTTGAAGTGGTAAATACCAGCTACCATCCAAAAGGAAATTGGTTGCGATTGCGGTCTGCTGGAAACCTGAGCACATATAACTGCCAGCTGCTTAAAGGTAATCTTGTTTGAAATTGAACCCACTCTTGTTTTTTTTAAGATAAAAGTTATCTTAAAAGTAAGCTTGATGGGGAGCTCAAAACATGGAAATTGGTAATGATGGAACTGACTGATTAGAGAAGGGCTGCTTTGTAGCTGGTACCCCCAACCCTGACCCCCCACCTCTTTTCTCTTCAACTACCTCTAAAAAAAAAAAAGAATTCATGCAAAACCACTACATTAGGTACCTCATCCCATGAGGGACATATTCCAAGAGCCCCAATGGATTCCTAAAAACCAAAGATAGTACCAAAGCTTCTCTACTATGCTCTTCTCTAAACAACATACCTATGATAAAATTCAACTTATAAATTAGGCACAGTAAGAGATTAACAACAATAACTAATAAGAGAATAGGAAGATTATAATAATATATAATAAAATTTGTGCACATATGCTTGTTCTCTCTCTCTGAGAGAAATATTTCAAAATATCTTGTGGAACTGTACTCACCCTTCTTGTGATGATGCTAGATGATACAGTGCCTATGTGATAAGATGAAGTGAAGTAAATGATGTGGTCACCCATTAGTCACTAATTACTGTGGAAATGCTGGACAGAGGGATGATTCACATCCTATCAGGGTTAGAGTAAGATGGTACAAGATTTCACCACACTCTTCAGAAAGGAACACAATTCAAAACTTAAAAAATTTTATCTCTGGAATTTTCCACATAAAATTTTCTGACCATGGTTGACTGAGAAAAAAAAATCACATAAAGCAAAACACACACACACACACACACACACACACACACACATAAGGGGAAATTACTTAAATATGTGGAAAATTCTAGACAGTAAAACTTGACTGGGAAAGTTAGCATATAAATTATAGCATTTTTATCTTCTCAAGTTTTTGTGTTTGTTTGTTTTGGTTTTGTCATGGTCATTATAAGGATAAGATGTTCTAAAGCTAGGGCAGGAAGTAAAATTTACTCCCTGATACTCCCTATACAACATTCTCTATTGTGAGAGGAGACCCTGACAAAACAGAATGGATAAAGCAACATAATTAGCCTGAGAGGATTTTTAGTTTGAGAAAATGAAACATGAACAAAATTATACACTTGGAAATACTACGTGATGCACAGATGTTGAGCAAAGGATTGTGGCTGCTCCACACCAGGTCTCTGGGGAAACTGAGGAAGGTTTCTCAACAGAGGACCACATGGAACTCACAGTGGAAATGGTGGTTTTTAATGAAAGAAAAGAAATATCATTTCAAGTAGAGAACARCATATGCCAAATCCCAGGGATTTCAGACAGCCCAGTGTCTTTAGGGAATCTCTGAAATTCCAGGTGGCTAGGGTGTAGGATGTGTAGGATAGAGGAGGCAGGCAGGAAAAAGGGAAAGGGGGTTTACTGGGCAGGAGAGTTCTGACTTGGCCTGATTGTACAATGCCACAGACTCTTAAAACATCATGCTTTAGGTAATAAGAAGTCACTAGAAGTTAAAGAAGCGGAACATCAATAGATCAATATTTCAGGAAGATCTGTGATGATATTATAAAAAATGACCCAAAGCAAGAGAAATTAGAACTATCACAATATAAAAAAAAAATAGTTAAGTGTTAGAGTCTGTAAACAAGTCAGGATGGCGCCTGGCATTTTGCCAGGGGGAGTGGTTTGTGAGGTGGCGCCAGCGAGCCATTAAGTGTGGAGATTCCTTATTGGTTGACTGCTGTATCTAGTTTATGCTAATTAAGATAAGCTGTGTGTAATGTATATATACCCCTCCTGTCCTACAATAAAGGGCTCCCACTCCTGCTAYATCAATGTACACAAGTTGCTCGTCAACCCCCAGTTATTTTGCTGCAGCSAGACTGAGGCAGTTAAGCTCTTGTAGAAAAATGTGGCTGAATTCATTCACACTCATAATTAATGGCAACCCAACTGCAGAATCTGCCTTTGAAATATTCTCTCAAATCTCTCTCAACTCCATCATTATTGTTACTGTTTATAATTTCAGCTCAGCATTTCTCAACAACTTAAGGCCATAGTGTTGCAAAGTCTTTAGAAAGGCATCCACACCAAGGTCTAGAGCCTGCTCACTCTGGCTTATCTCTATCTATAAACACAGACCAGGGAGAGGCAAACTGCCAATACTTTTATCTCTTCTCTCCTTGGCAGCATCAGCAATACCAATGAAATGAGTATCTACCCCACAAACCCAAGAGACTAGGGCTTGTTGAGGATGAAAACCTACAGGAGAATGTGAAGAAAACAGTGAGACCTTGATAATAAATGAGAACATTCATAGTCAGTTTTGATGATTCCTTGGAACTGTACCATGTAGAAAACCACTACATTTTTTTCTTATTGTGAATTTGGTACATATAATTTTTCTACTAGGATAATGAGCACAGCAATATATTCATTTGAAAAAAAATCATAGAATATTGATGTGGGAAGTGGGAAACTGAGGAAGAGGGGTATATCACAGAAATTATAACTCTTGTACTACCATTGTATACATATCAAAGAAAAATATTTCAGAACCACTACCTCAACACCCCAAAAATAATGGTCTTTGTTTTTCTGTGGTGAAACTACCCAGGCTTAGCTGGGATAGCCATATATATTACTAGATTATTTCTTGAGTAGATACTTGAAATCAAAAAACTCACACTTAGGGAATCAGAAATCTTATATTATTCCACAAACTCTGTATGGGCAGGATGTTAACTACATAGATATTTAAGAGCTAGGCATGGAATCCAGGCAGTTTGACCCCAAATCCACCATGTCTGAATATACCACTATACCATTTATTAACACTGTATTTTTCTCAAGGTGCTTAAACTTTAAGTTTTTTTCATCTACATAATGAGCATTATCATAGAACTTTTGTGAAAACAAAATAAAATAAAATGCTAAACTATTTAAAATGCATTTCCTAGCACATAATGAATAGTAAATTAGTGTCAGCTATTAACTTTATYCCTCCAGCACAGAGAGGTCATCAGCCTATTTTTATTGAATAAATGAATGAATAATGATGAATGAACGAATCGTTCTCTTTCATGTCTCTGAGCAAACTGGGTCTTATGTGAAATGGCCATATAACTCAATTGATCAAAAACAATTCCAATATTTGAAGACATAAAGAAGAAAAATACCAGAGAGTGAGGAACTTGAGTCAGTGTGAATGATCTGTAATGTGATCATTTAGAAAGTAAGCAACCGTAAATAAATTTTCCTAGAAATTCATTAGTTAGAAACTTGTACAATCTTGGGAAGAGAACTTGTAAATGGCAGAATAAAAGTATCCCTGGCACCAGGGCATGGTGGCTCATGCCTAGAATCCCAGTAACTCAGGAGATTGAGACAGTAGGAGCTTAAGTTCAAGGCCAGCCTGGACAATTTAGCAAGACCTTGTCAAAGAAAGAAAAGAAAAGAAAGAGAGAGAGAAAGAGAGAGGGGAGGGAGGAAGGAAGAGGGAGGAAAGAAAGAAAGAAAGGGCTTGGGGTGTAGCTCAGTGGTAGAATGGCTCTGGCTTCAATCCCTGTACCRAGAAAAGAAAAAGAAAAAATTTACTACAAGCATATAAACTGAGTAGGGAAGAGACAGAACAGAGGCATCACATAATCAGTCAAGAGCTGAGACTGCCATGTCTTCCCAGCCACCACAGCTGTATCGCTCTAGGATAGAATGAAAGAGGGAGAGGAAAAAGCCCCCATGACAGTGAGGACTTGACTTCTTTGAACTTGACTCAGACAGAAGGTTGTAGAAAAATCTTTGCCGATCACTTTTGCCATCTTACCTACCCAAGCCTCATTTGCCATTGGCTGGTTTTTAGCATAATCACTTTACTTGAGGACAAAAAGACTGTATAGTTTTTAGTTAATCACAATAATATCCACTTATCTCTATGGATTAAAAAAAAAAAAAGATTTTCAGTTGTCCCTGCTGCGTTTTTTCTCAACCAGTCATCTCAGGGCCATCTGAAACGGTCCTTAAGTCATTTCTGTTATTTGATAATATTCTACTTACCCCACCTTCCTGGAGCRGTATTGATTGATCCATACATGAACCCAGCAGGAGGGAGGTGGCGTTTCTTCCTGATCTGAGGGTCCTTCTCTGGGAGAGAGCAAAGTCAGTGGACTCCACGTGGACCTGATGGTCTAGATTGCTGCTGCTGACCTTCACTTCTCCCACTAACTCCAGCCTTCAGAATTCACAGGTGCTGTTCTGAAGCACTGGAGTCTAACTCCTCAGGAGAATTCTCTCAGGAGCCTGTTCCTCATTCTTTCAGGTTTATGTTTTGATCATTCTGTTTTGTTTTCACCAGCAAAATCCATAAACTATGGTATGTTCTGTTTTGGTTTAGATATGAGGTGTCTCCCCAGGAGCTCAAATGTGAGACAAWGTAAGAATGTTGAAAGTGAAATGATTGGGTTATGAGAGCCTTAACCTAATCTGTGGATTAATCCAATGATATGGATTAACTGGRTGGTAACATAGACCTGTAGGTCATGGCTGAAGGAGATAAGACAGTGTGAGTTTGCATTTGGAGTTTAACTCTCTCTCTCTGCTTCCTTATTGCTACTGTTCTGAGCTGCTTTCCTCTACCACACCCTTCCACCACAATGTTCTGTTGCATCTTGGGCCTAGAGCTGTGGAGTCAGCCAACCATGAACTGAACCTCGGAAACCATGAGTCAAAATAAGCTTCTCCTTCTCTATGTTGTTCTTGTCAGGTATTTTGGTCACAGTGATAGAAGGCTGACTAAAACATGTCCCCCAAAGCCCTAATAAGCCAGTGGATTATGTTTCCTCTCTTGTTCCCCCTTAATTAGAAAGACATAATACTTGAAAGCCAGCATGAAGATGTTCAAAATTAACCAGCCAGGATACTGTATGGAACTCCCCCAGTGGAGAGAGAAGTATGCTAAAGAGCATAGCTTCCCTGTCCTTGAGTTTATGTCAGACTTGGTCTTGTGCACTTGCAATTCGAGTTCGAAGAGTTCCCAGGAATCTGCTGTCTTCACAGAGTCATGAGGTCAAATCGATGGCATAATACATTCAAGGGAGCAAATGTGCCAAAGAAAAATTGTTTTAGTCATTCTAAACTAACAGCTTTGCCCTGTAATTCTTTCATCACCCTTCAAAGGACCTATACCGGTTACCATAGAAACATGGTTTAGTGCTTATGGGGAGACTCAAAATATGCTAACAGAATGATAATTAGCTATTTGCCCTTAAATACTGCTTCTTTCAGCAACATAATCTGTGCCAAAAATCCGTGGACATACAAATACATGCTCTGTTCTGTATCATTGGATTCACAAAGGAGGGATTTATTTGTTAAAATGGTTCACATAATCAAAATTCTTAACATGTTTTGAAACAAATATAGCCAATTGTTTGTAGTAGCCTAGTTTTACATGTAAATGTTGCCAGTTACTAGCAATGATAACATGGGAAGTGGCTTCATCTCTCTATGCCTCTGGTTTTTTACATGTAAAATAATTTCTGAAATCRACCTATAAAATGCCAGTGAGGAGAAAACGAATTAATATATGTAAAAGTTCTAAGAATAGCATCTGATGGTCAGTGTTTTAGCTACTGTTAGTTTTTTTGTTATTTATTTGGTTAACGTACTATTGTTTCCTTGTCTTCTTTTACTCTGGGCTTCAGTTATCTTTCTTTCCCTGTTTGTGGCATCACACTGACCTTGAAGTAGACTGTCTCAGATGAATGGATGCCAAGAACAAGCAATGAATGAATCTGGAGACCACATGGCATTATAAAGAGTGGATAGATAGGAGCCAGAAAGATCTGGGTATATATTAGTAGCTTTGTGGTATTATGTAAATGACTTGACCCCTGAGCCGGTTTCTTCATTTATAAACTAGAAGCTGTGCTTGCTTTGTGGGAACATTGTGACTGCACTTGGTGCCTGCCCATCCTCTCAAACACAACTGAGAAACTGCAGAAAGTATTTTGCATATAGAAGTGGGATAATGGCTCAAAGCACCAATGTCTGCTTCAGGGAGATTGGCAGTTGAGAATAGAAATAAAAGAGACAGAAGGAATAAAGTTTACTACTTCTTGAGCATCCACTTTTTGCTAGACGGTATTCTGAAAGATTTGCTCTCATTACTCTGCATTTTGACATAGAAAGGCAATTGATAACATGTGCCTCAAACAGCAGATTAATTCGATACACTACATGTCGATTTTACCTTTTTACACTTTTAGAGTTCAAATATTTACTTCTGAAGCATCTGACATAATTCAGATTCAGAGTTCATAAAATCAAAGTTATGATTACCATGCGTTTCCCTCAGATTCTATACCCCAAGGTAGAATTGACCGAAATTAGATTATCAYACACCAATAAAATGATACTTTCACAGTAATTTAGCTTACAAAACACTTTCACACATAATATCTGTTTAATTCTCACAACCACCTGTAAGTTGAGCTATTAACCCCACTCTCCAGATGTGAATACTGAGGTTCAGAAAGGTTCAAGTGGCTTGTGTAAAATTATCCATGTAATTTACAAATGGCAAATGTAAGACCCTTTTCCATGTTTTCTCACAAGAATTCCAAGACAATTTTCTCTATAGATTTGTTTCAAGAGATTCATTTGTCCTTCTAAAATCTTTCTTAAATTTTATTGAGAAACTGTTAGTATCAAGTCTATGAACTTTGTTTACATGATTACTCAGTTCATACACACATAAATGTAAAAATACACATTTTTATATGACAACAGTTATCCTTTTTGTATGCAGTGTAATGCTAGTGCTTTCTATTCTAACCTATTTTATTACACTATTAAACATTAATCATTGTGACCTCCTAAAATGATATCATAATTTATTCATGGATCACAACTGCCAATTTGAAAAATATTGTAACAGGGTAATGAGGGCAAAAAAGCTTTGACTAGTAGTCTAGTAARAAAATGAAAGATAAATACAAAAGTGAAAATAATGTGCACTATCCTCAAATAAAAAAATTTTAGATTGTAATTTATTTAATCAGATATTTTACATGTATTCTTTCAAATATAGTATTCATGTAAAAAATAAGGTGAGATAAAATAGCCATAAGAGAGGTAGAGAAAAGTATCAAGAGAGTTAGGAAGGAAAACTTAACTTTAACCTGAGAGAAATATTTTTAAAGAGATAATTTAATATCCTAATTATTATAATATATAATTATAATAGTCAGTTATAATAGTCGGTTTTCCATTATTGTAACAAAATGCCAGTGAAAAACAATGTGTAAGGAAGAGAGGTTTATTCTGGCTGACAGTTTCAGAGGTTTCAATCTATGGTTAGTGGTTTTGAACCTGTGACAAGTCAGCATGATGTGTAGAGGAAAACCATCCCCCTCATGGTCCTCAAGAAGTAAAAGAAAGAAGAAGGAAGGTGCTGGAGTCCCAATATCCCCTTCAAAATCACACCACCCATGACCTAATTTCCTCACTAGGCCCCACTTACTAAAGGTCCCACCACCTCCCAGTAGCTCCACAGGATGGTGACCAGGCCTTTAACATGTGAGCCTTAGGGGAACACTTATCCAGCAGGATTAAAAGTTGGGTTTTTGGGGCTGGAGATATAGCTCAGTCTCATGTGAGACATGCACAAGGCCCTGTGTTTAATCCCTAGCATCACAAAAACAAAAACAAAAAAGTTGGTTTTTGAAGGATGAATATAATTAAAGAGTAATATCTGTATGTTTGTGTCTTATTTGAACATCATCATAAGAGCARTTATAATTCATTCATTCAATCAGTATTTACTAAGCACTTACTATGTCCTAGGCACTATTCTAGGTCTAGGGAACAAAATAGGCAAAAATTCCTGCCCTTAGGGAATTTACATTCTAGTGTGATTATCCAGACAATAAACAAAATAAGTAAATATGTATTATATTAGTAAGTGGTCTGGTACAGAGAGAAACAAAGCACAGCAAGGGAACAGGCAATCCCCTTGCTGTGGGAGGGAGTCACAATATTCAACTGAGTCATTTGCAAAAGCTTCACAGAGAAGGTGACACACAAAGATTGAAATGAGAGACCTAGTCATATGAATATCTCAGGAAAGCAACATTTCAGGAGAGGAAACAGGAGGTGCAAAGGTYCTGTTATAGCTTAGATATTAGGTGCCCCCCCCAAAAGTTCATGTGTGAGACAATGCAAGAAATTTTATAAGAGAAATGATTGGGTTGTGAGAGCCTTAACCCAGTCAAGGAAGCAATCCACTGACAGGGATCAACTGAGTGGTAACAGAGGCTATTATGATGCGGCTGGAGGAAGTGGGCACTGGGGGCATACCTTTGGGGTATATATTTGGTGAGCTGAGCTTAGGCTCTCTCTCTGCTTACTGAATGCCATGCTCTCAGCTGCTTTCCTCCACCACAGTCTTCTGCCAAGATGTTCTGCCTCACTGAATCCCTGTGGAAGGGAGTGAGCCTTCTACAAACTGAAACCTCTGAAACCATGAGCCCCAAATAAACTTTTTTGCTGCTGTGACCAGGTCCTTTGGTCACAGAGGCAAAAAAGCTGATTAAAACAGGCCCAAAGTCAGGAGCAATGACAAGAAAGCCAATGAATGAAAGTGAACGAGGGCAGGGCAAATAACCGAGAGTAAAGACAGAGGGATAACATGGGTCCTTGATAGCAGCTTGATAGCAAGCCCAGCATGGTAGCTCATGCCTATAATCCCAGTGGCTCTTGAGTTCAAAGCCAGACTCAGCAAAAGTGAGGCGCTAAGMGACTCAGTGAGACCCTGTCTCTAAATAAAATACAAGACAAGGCTGGGGTTATGGCTCAGTGGTCAAGTGCCCCTGAGTTCAATCTGCGATACCAACCCCCCCCMMAAAAAARAAGACTTCACACAAATTTAAATCACAATTTAAAACCACTAGACTGGATGAGCTCTCCATGGATGTGTACAAGTAAAGGAAAGAAGATGTCCAAGGACTGAACCTCAGCACACTACAAATTAAAAGTTCAAAATAAGAAATAAGCAAAGAAACCTAAGAGGAATAGCAGCCAGTGAGAAAGGAGAAAATCAATAGAATTACTGTCTCAGGAACAAAGTGAAGAGTAAGAATTGAGAAGGGAGTGGTTAACTAAGATCAGTGTGGCTGATGGTCAGATAGATACAATGAGGACTGAGAATCTAAGCTCCAGGAAAGTCAACGGATGATCTCTTAAATCAGACTTTCTATCCCCAACTGGCTGGGCAACCTRAAGTCAACCTCTTTACCTCTTGACACCTGTTTTATCATCTGCAAAATAAATAGGTTGAATTCTCTTAGAAAAATCTAAGAGAATACTTTTTGAAAAATTAGCTAACTTCAAACATTTTTATTAGAAATTTTTATGTTAATGATTCAAAAAAACTAATGAATCAAAGGAAATATGAACTAGTTTGTTGCTGTTGATTTTAGAAAAAAAAATCCCTGCTACCTAACCCATCTCTAATTTCCATTTTTTTTTTTTTTTTTTTTTTTACAGATTCCAGCAAGAAGTGCATCCCTGCTCCTATAGTTATTGCTTCTCTCTCCTTTTTGGCCAGTGTTATCATCTCTTCCAAAAGCAGAGTGCAAAGGAATCCTGAGGCTCTTTTTTAAATGTACATTATGTAAATGAAAACTTGTGCTGGTTTTTGCTAATAATGGGAAGTTGTTTACTGGAAAGGATGATACTCTGATGCTTCCGCTGAACCAGAGCATGTTCTTCTCTTGGCTAGTCCTGTTTTGCCTTCCCCATACCCATTTGCCTTTCCCATTCAGAGCACCCTGAAATCCCCTGGGGAATCACTCTGCCCACCTTTCATTTGATGCACAGCTGTTTTGGATCACTGCCTATCAGTTGGACTATCACTCAGATCTTAGCCATTTCAGCATATTTCTTCTTCATGAAAACAGAAGTTTATGTTGGACTAGAAAATAGCAAAAACAAATACCAAATGTCTTCTTTGATATAATGAGAACAACTAAAAACAGAGCAGGGAGGAAGAGCAGGAAGAAAAGATCAACATTAAACAGAGACATGAGATGGGAGGGAAAGGGAGAGAAAAGGGAAATTGCATGGWAATGRAGGGAGACCCTCATTGCTATACAAWATTACAYATAAGAGGTTGTGARGGGAAYGGGAAAATAAACAAGGAGAGAAAWGAATTACAGTAGATGGGGTAGAGAGAGAAGATGGGAGGGGAGGGGAGRGGGKATAGTAGGGGATAGGAAAGGTAGCAGAATACAACAGTTACTAATATGGCATTATGTAAAAATGTGGATGTGTAACCGATGTGATTCTGCAATCTGTATWTGGGGTAAAATTGGGAGTTCATAATCAACTTGAATCTAATGTATGAAATATGATATGTCAAGAGCTTTGTAATGTTTTGAACAACCAATTWAAAAAAAGAAAATAGCCCAGGGATAGCTTATGAGGTATATCAGGGTACTTTTTAGACACTTGTTTTGGGAGTAGGAGAAGGACCTCTTTTTTGAATGGAGTAAGTATGAGCTTAAAGATGCTAGAAGTTATCTTACCACCAAAGAGGGGACCCCCAACTCCCTGAGAAAGCAGCTAACACAATTAAGGAAGAGCTGAGAAATGAAAAGAAAGTGAGACCAAATGAGAATGTATGACCCTCCAGATTCATCTGGGTCTGAAGCTAAGTACTGAAAGTTTTTTCTTCACATTAAATCCATAAGTAATATTTTGCTTACATAATTTGAATTACATAGTCTATCTCAAACCATTGAAAGAATTCTGATGAATACAGGTTCCCTGCCCTTTTTTAAAATTTAATGATCCTAAATAGGAACAAATCAAAGAAGACTGAATTATGAAGCAAAGGACAAACTCATCATCAAATGGAAAAGCTTGAGCCCCAGAGACCTAACCAAAGTGTGAATTTTCTTCAGAGGTTTTCATCAGAATTCAAAATCAAACTATTTTGGTCTCATATGGGAAGAAACACAGAATCCTGAGCAATAAAAGAGAAAGGTAATGAAATATGTTAGTGAAATGTCATTCATTACCAGTTAACAGGGTGGTAGATACAAGCTCCTAAAATACTTACCAAAAAAAAAAAAAAGTTAAAAGTTAAATTCATGTTAATTTAAGACTTCACATAAAAGTACATTTATTAGGAAAACATGAGGATATGTGTGGAGGTAAAAGAGAGAATATGAGAGAAGAAATTGATTCCCATGCAAGTACCAAAGATATATGTTTCATTATGTACAAACTACAAGATGCAAAGTCTAAAGCTGGAAATGTTCGCCAAAACTTCCCTCAGGTAGTAGTCAGTTTAGATGGAGACATGGGTGATTGTTTCACCTGAGCTCCAAAGACCCTAGTGTTGGGTCAAATGGAGTAAAGTGAGGGCTAGCTGTTATGGTTTGAATATGAGGTGTCCCCTGGAAGTTCATGTGTGGGACAAGCCAGGACATYCAGAGGTGAGACAATTGGATTATGAGGGCTGGAACCTCATCAGTAGGCTAATCCATTTGATGGCTTAATAACTTGAACATATTAAAGTTACCCTAAAGCATTTATCTCCATGAGAAATCACAGTTTTCTAAGTAAGATCATTCTCTTAAATCAGTGACTCTTGAAGTGGCAACTATGAAGTGGGAAAAAATTGTCACAGGTTATTACAGAACTTGTTTTTTTTCTATTTTCCCTTATTTTATAGGAAATGGTCATGGGCTTTGTTTTGTTTTCTTTTGGTGCATTTCACCCTTTCCTCTCCACTTACGCTTCATTTGGTTAGGCCAGAGAAAAAATTAGGGCCAGGCATAACACTGAAACTAGTGAGTCTTCACTTTATTCTTCAAAACCCTATGGACTTTAGAAAAGTTAGAGGAACCCAAAACYAAAGTATTTGAGAGAAATGTTACAYGAGAGCATTCAGTTTGAGAACAGTACAACTTCCCCCCAACAACCCCACAAGCTCGGAAGCAGACACAGACAGGAAGCCAGCAGAGTGGGCAGGATGATGGTAGGGCCCAGAGGTGGGGAAATGTCTGAGAMGCACTGTGAGTGACTGCCAGCCTCACTGGAGCCACCAGTACCTAAAAACACCCATGTTTATTAAAGTGAACACCACCCACCAATGTTGAGAGCCACAGCCAAAGGGGGCCCCAGCAAATATCCAGCTGCCAGCTGATTGGCTCCTCTGTGGTGATGCGCATTGAGCTGTTTCCCCCTCCCTTTCAGACCACGGAGCTGCTCATTGGGGGACTCTTTTGGCTCCGCCCATGCAACCCAGCCAATTGGCCTGAAGAGCAGGAGGAGGGGGGGGGGGTTGAGAGGCTTGTGGGAAGCGGGTGTTGGCAGTTGGGCCCTGAGGGAATTCCTGAAGAGCTCCTGTGGTGCGGAGTGTGTGTTCTAAAAATAAAGTTTGTTTCTGCTTGATAAGTGGCTCCAGAATTGTGCCCAGCCAGACTGTGACACACCTCTATTATCTAGTGGCTGCCATTCCAATTGGCATCTAAGGACTTCCCCTGAGTTATCACCAGTCATTCAGCCACTTCACTGAAAGGCTCTGCCCCAGGACTTTTTGAGTCTTTGTCCCATTCWTGGTTCCCCTCTGCTCTCCTAACATTTTGGGAGGCACAATCCTAAATCAAAAGGAAGGAAGGTGAAATCCTGGACACATATAGTACAGAACAAGTAGCAAAGTAAGAGACCCACCTCCACCTCCTATTTATATAAGGTGTGATGTTGCTGCTGCTGCTGCTGTTGTTTTTGAAGGTGGGGTAATGAATGAGTTCAAGATTCTCCTCAAAATGAAACAATCATTAGTAGATAGCAATTGCAAATGAATAAGCTTTTAGCATTGCTACTCAGTGAAAATGCAGAGTATTGAAATTTTATCCTTTTTCCAGAGCCTCTATGCTCTGAAATGGTTAACATCCACTTCCAAAAAATATTATGAAGTCCTGTTTATTTGCAGATGGCAGAGGGATTCTTAATTTAAAATGTAAGTGGTAACTACAATGGTGGCCTTGGTTTGGAGTTATCWTTACCACTTGTTCTAAGCAAAGTTTCTATTATGTATCATGTGAAATAATAGCTCCAAGGGTGAYCTTGAGAGTATACACTCACAATGCATGAGAGTCAAAGACTTCATTATTGGCAAATAGACTTTCCTAACTCCTGTTCCAAACAAGAACATCTCAGAAATCCTGCTCCTACAAGTGTAATGGTCTTTTCTTTGTGAAAGGTTAGAGTACCTCCATTTTCAACTTCTAGTATCTCCTAATCCTAAAACCTCAGTAGGAGACAGATGAGAACAAATTATSTGCTCTGATCTTATTCATATAAGAATTATCATTGTTCTTATTTAGTTCTGAATAAATCATATTTATTTAGTAACTTAGAATAGTCAAAACACTGAAAGTTGGCATGAGTGACAAAAATGGAGGCAAATTATGTTCCCCCCAGGCCTGAACTAATGACAATATTTACGTTTACCTGAACTTCATAGTACAGTAACTGGAAATTGACTTGCCAAATGTGGAAATTAGTTTTGTTGTTTTAATTATGCTTCAAGATGAAATATCCTCAACTATGATTCTATGTTTTTTCAATAACTCATACTCCTTAGTGAATGCCATTTCAAGTAGGCTTTCTTTGACTATTCATTTTCATTTTCATGAAGCAAAACTACAGACGATTGCTTTCTGCACTTATGGTCTAATGACCTTCATATGTCTGGTATCAAAGGGCCTTAGAAAGTACTATAAGAAATCATGGAATCTGAGTTTATTTTTCTGATGGAAATGAATGCAACTTTTATTGCACCCCTACTTGTCATTCACTTTCTTAAGCATAGAAATATCAGTCTCCAGGGTCTTTATGGATTTTTGGAGAACCTGTATGGTTGGYTCCATAGCCTTGATGATTTGTTCCAACTGATCGGCTGCTGACTCCATGGGATTGCTGGCATTCTCAGTTTTTAGTGCATCTTGCAACTTCTTCAGGGCATCTGTTGAGATGGATTTGCAACGATCTGGACTCAGGTTTTTCTCAGATGTGGGAGCATCTGATGTCCCTTTGGTGTCTCCTTTACAGAAATCACTTAATTGAAGACTCATGATGGGGAATGCCATCAAGTGTGAAAAAAAAGATTCCAAATTCTCAAGGATGTTACTATGGCTCAGCACAGAGACAATGGTTGGTGTCTGGATATTTTTAAACAGTTCTTTAGCTGAACGTTCCAACTCCAGGTTGATACATTTCTCTGCCATAGAACACATAGTTGTTGCAACCTTCGAATACATAGGTTCCTTTTGCATTTTGTTGTACTTTTCTTCTACTACAGATTGCATCTCCTTAAAACTTTTAAGCATTTCTTCAAAGAAATTCTTAATTGTACTATCTTCTTTCACAACCATCAAGGAGATCTGAGTATTCATATTGTGGTTAAGAAACTCAGTAAATGTGTTTGTGAGGGAAACAAGATCTTGTACATGAAGGAAGAACATTTCAGAAGCTTGAATTAGTCTGTTATTTTCTGAGTTTGAAGACATTTTTCCAACAAAGAAGTTTCAGCACTGCAAATAAAGCAGAATCCAAAGGAAAAGTCAAAGTGGATTTAGCTACCATGAAGACACTGAGCATATAAACATAAACATTAACTCATGTCAGAGACAGGAAAGTTACACAAACTTTAAAACAATAATGATTCTGCACTTAAGTAGAAATAATAAAAAAATAATTAAAAGTAGAATAGGAGTGTGTCACTGAATTTATACCACATATATATCAAATATTATGTTCTGGATCTTGAACCTAATGGATATGCTGACATGTGGAATAACATTACTCTCCAAAAAATCTTACCCTCAAAAACTATTCAGTGTCTAGGAGAATGTTGGATACAGCATTAAAAGTTAAAAATTAAAAAGAGGCTCTCATCTTAGTTAAGATAGCATAGAAACACTTCATCTAATCTTTCCTGCTCATTACACCTACSAATTATGAATATCAAACAAGAAGTAAATACCAGAAAATTTGAAAGATAGATAAAGCAGGTAGAAAGTGGATAAAGYAGATAGAAAGTACAGCATTTGAAGAACAACACAATGATGAATTTCTCTGGTTGTTTTGGTTTTGGGTGACTTTGGTTTTGTTTTGTTTTGATTTTTGTGTTCTGCTTTTCCTACAAACCTGAATAAATTTATATCTCTTAAAAGATTTGCATCTGCAGTTAAACACCTCCCAAAAAAGAAAACTCAGGTCCAGCTGGTTTCACTGGTAAATTCAAGCAAAAATTTATAAGAGAATTATTAAGGGGCTGGAGACACATCCCTCAGGGGTACAGTGCCTGCCTGGCATGCATGATGAGTCTTGGGGTTTAATTCTCAGGGCTGATTTTTAAAAAAAAAGAAAAGAAGAGAAAAGAAAAGGAATTAATAACAATCCTATATAATATATTCCAAAAATAGAAAAAAAATCTTAACTCATTTTAGCAAGAAAACTACAATGTATCTATCCCTTAAGAACATAAACACAAAAATCCTCAATAAAATATTAGCTAATCCAATGCAATATGTAGAAAGACCAACACATCACAACCAATTTGATATTTATACCCAAAATGAAAGCCTAGTTTAACATTCAAAAAATCAGACTGAGAAATAGAAGGCTTTTTTAAAAATTCAACATCCATTAATGATTTTAAAAATCTCTCAGCAAACTACACATATAAAATATATTTCTCCACCATAGAGGGCTCTTATTAAAAAAAAATACTATAGCTGAGCTGGGGATATAGTGGTAGAACATTTGCCTAGCATGTGCAAGGTACTGGGTTTAATCCCCAGCACCATCTTTTTTTTTTTAATGTCAAAAGATATAACTAACAGAAAAAAGACTAAATGCTTTTTCTCTAAGATCAGGAACTTGACCAGGGTGCCCACTTTCTGGACGTCTTACAGCAAATGAAATAAGAAATGTTGTCCTAGTCAGGTTGTTTTTTGGGGGTTTGTTGTTGTTGTTGTTGTTGTTGTTGTTATTTTGCTGCTGTGACTAAAAGACCTAATTAGAACAATTTTAGGGGAGGAAAAGTTTATTTTGAGGCTCATGGTTTCAGAGGTCTCAATCAATAGAAGTCTGGCTCCACTCCTCAGGGCTCAAGGTGAGGCACAACATCATGGTGGAAAACTGTGGAGGGAAGACACTCACATGAATATCTGAGAGCAGAGAGAGTGACTCCACTTGCCTGACACAAATATATATCCCAAAGGCAGGCCCCCGATTACCTACCTCTCCCAGCCACACCCTACCTGCCTTTAGTTACCACTCAACTAATCCTGTCAGGGAATTAATTCACTGTTGGGTCAAGGCCCTCACAACCCAATCATTTCTCCTCTAAATCTTCTTGCATTGTCTCACACATGAGCTTTTGGGGGAACACCTCACATCCAAACCATACAATTATCTACATTTTTAAAAATCCCAAGAAATCTATACAGAAGCTCTTAGAGCTGTAATTAAGTTTAGCAGTTACAAGGTCAACATACAAATATAAATTGCATTTCTGTTCACTAGGGATGAACAATTGGAGCTCAATAACTTGTTGTAACTATGATTTTCAATATGCTGTTCATGAAATACTCGGAGAATATATCCTTAGATACAAATCCGAGAAAATATATGCACAATCTATATACTAAAATTCAAAATAACCTAAAATTCTGAAGAAAAACATCAAAGAAAACCCAAATAAATGGAAGACAAACCCTGTGAACTAAAGGACTCTGTATACATAAAACATCAATTCAAGTCCTATCCATGGATTGGAAGGCTCTATATAGTTAAGATTATCACTTTTTCCCAAATTGATCCATGCAATCACAGACAAAATACCATCAAATTCTCCAGAGATACAGAAAAGGGAATTCTAAAATATATGTATAAATGTAAAGAAACAAGAGTAGACAATTCTTTAAAGAAGAACCAATTTTGAGGACTCACACTATCTGRTATTGAAATATGATATAAAACTTCAGTAAACCTGACAGTGTGATATTGGTGACATGTAGACCAACAAAACAGAACAGAAAGTTCAGAAATAGACACACAAGTGTGRTCAATTGATTTTTAACAAAGATACAAAGGTAATCCAATAAAGTAAGTTAGGTGTTTTTCAACAAATGGTGCTGGAACAAYAGAACATCCCTATGAGTAAATATGAACCCGGTCCATACACTTCGTACCATATAGAAAAATTAATTCAAAATGGAACATAGATGTAAACATAAGAGTAAAACCATAAAATTCAAAGAAGAAAATACAGGAGAAAATCTTGTAACCCTTAGTTAGCCAATTAGTTCTTTGATGTGATACCAAAAACTCATCCATTAAAAAAAAAATGGTAAGCTGAATTTCACAGAATTAAAAACTGCTGTTCTGTTCTGTCAAGATGCTCTAAACAGCCAGATGTGGTGGTGGTACATGCCTATAATCTCAGCTACTCAGAAAGCAAGGCAGGAGGATGGTAAGTTTGAAACCAACCTCAGCGCTATCTCAAAATAAAAAAAATAAAACATCTTAGGATATAGCTCAGTGGTAGAGTGCCCCTGAGTTCAATGCAAAAAAAAATCAACACTTCTGACAGAAGACTTTTATCCAGAGACCCTCTAAGTATTAGATAGAAAAATTACTTGACAGTGGTTGTGGAAACATAAACATACACAATGACAAAATTATATGTAACGATACACACACAAATGAGTACCTATTAACCTGGGGAAATCTATAGATTGGTGAATTACATCAACATTAATATTCTGGGCATTTTGTTGTAGATTTTTCAGATGAGTCCGGCAAAATTACAAGAAATCCCTGTAATAGTTCTTAAAATTTATCTGTGAAAAATTGGTTTAGAAAAATTAAGACCTAATGGAAGAGTGCATTGGTAGCTCTGGACAGTGAAATACATTTTATCATGACTTTTTGAGAGAGGATAAGCCATCCACATGGAGCTGTCCAAATGGCTGGTTAGAGATATGTGCTTGGAGGACAGGAAAAATTATTGACTAGCAAAAGTATATTTGGAGTACAGCCACAAACCAGCAATGATAGAATCATGAGATTGAATAAAAGCACCCAGGGAAAACGTACAGAGTGAAAAGGAAGCTAAACATAAAAACTCAAACACCAATATTTAATAATATATGAATGATGAGACTCCATATAGAAATTGAAGGAATGTTTGAAAAAAGAGAACCATACAACCCTGAGAAGAAAGTCAAYAGGAAGGAGTAGCCAATAATTTCAAATGCTATAAGTAAGACAAACATTGTATATTATGTATTCTATTACAATAGGCACTACAATGCCATTGGTGAAGCAAGGGAGCAATGTTGTAAGCGGTGGGGATAAGTGTAGAAGCCAGATTACAAATACTGAAAAATTAATGGAGAAAATGAAGTAGAGAAAATACAGGCACACTGCCAAATTGGAAAGTCTCAATGAGGTGGCATAAGAGAAGGTACAGGGTCAAAAGGAGATGATTTTCAGGTTTGTTTGATTTTTTTAATGCGATATTCATAAAAGCTGAGTTTTGAAACCATTTTTAAAGTGTTTAGTTAATTGAACCAGGAAGATTATTCAGGGTTGGAGTCATGCAATTGATAGGTGTCCAATAGAGTTTTTCAGGAAAAGGGAGTGAGCTTCGGAATAAGGAGGAAAGGAAAACATTCTTAGAGAAATTATCAAAAGAGAAGGTACATACAGATACATTTGGATAGCATTGATCAATTCTACTCATTAACCACTATCCTCAACCCAAGCAAACTTGTCCAATCAGCCTTCCTGATCCCTGGCATCACCCTGACACCACTGCCTGCACTAGGAAAAGTTGCCTCCTGYTTAAGAATTGAACAACAGCAGATGAGGTAGAGAGGGATGATGGGTGGGGAGGGGAGGGGGGATAGCAGGGGATAGGAAAGGTAGCAGAATACAACAGTCACTAATATGCCATTATGTAAAAATGTGAGTGTGTAACCGATGTGATTCTGCAATTTGTATTTGTAACCGATGTGATTCTGCAATTTGTATTTGGGGTAAAAATGGGAGTTCATAACCCAATTGAGTCAAATGTATGAAAGATGATATATCATG